CTCCTCCTCCTCCTCCTCCGCAGCGGCGAGCGCTTCGCGTGCATGCCGCCTCACCAGCGCTGCGGTATAGCGCCCGCCTCGTCCCTCCTCGGCCCCTCGGGACCGCCCCCGCCCCCCTGCCAGCTCCCACGCTCGCTCCGCCTGCAGTCCCCGCCAGCTTCTTCGTGCAGGCGTGGTCGGCCGCAACTTACCAGCCTGGAACATATCCCTATCCCTATGCTGGGCATCTCCTCATCACGATGCCGATCTTAGGGATTCCCTTATTTTTGAGGGCGCATCCCTAAGGTTGTCGTCGCCTTTTGGCGTGTCAATCTTAGGGACAGGGATACGTTCGAGGCTGGTAAGCAACAAGCTGGCCCCCCCTGCTGACGAGCCTTCGGGCTCATCATCAAGGCGGCTGGGCGTCTAGGGGACCTAGAGAGCAGGCAGTGTGGAACCCCCTGCAACGGATGACAGTCCGAATGCGAGCCAAGAGGTCTCCGTACGGCCCCGCACATCAGCGCTCAAGGCGTTTCTGGTACCTCCGCTAGGGAGGGCCCCTGAGTATCACGTGAGGAGGAGGAGGACGACGACGACAATGAGGGAGGAAATGGGGAGGGGAGGGGAGGGGGGGGGGGAGGATGAGGGACAGCGGGCGATGCGGATAGAGGAGTGTGTGTGGGGGGGGAGGAGATCAGGTTGAGGCGGAGAAAGGGTGAGGAGGTGGAGGCGGACATGTACACCTGGTCAGGGTGACGCTAGCATGTATGATGACTAGGACGATGACGAGAAGCAAATGGGCGGATGCGGATGAGATGGCGGAGAATACTGGGGGAGAAAACGGAGGAGGAGCGGGACGAGGAGTGGGAGGGGAGTGGAGGGATTGTGGACGTCTAGATGGATTGCCTGGATGATTCGGGATTCTGAGTTGAGTTGATGATGGTGGGTGGAAAACGAGGAGGAGGGGGGAGAGGGAAGGAGGAGAGGACGGAATAGTAAAGATGGCGGTTGGAGGATGGGGGATTGGATGGTTTAGGAGAGGGCGGGAGGGAGAATGCATGACACATCATTCGTGCTGTAGTATAGGATCAGGCAGGCGGATGGATCAGAAAGGTCGGAAGAGGAACTTCCGACAGCAGGATCATGAGGAAGGTGAGGTGGACATGGAGGAAGGTACGGATGATCTGGAGAAGTCCATGGATGGCAGTGTTGGTGAGGAGGATGGCTGAGGGAGAGGAGGATAATGGATGATAACGGAGAATCAGGAGGCGGAGGAGGAGGAGGAGGAGGGGGAGAAGGAGGAGGAGGAGGAGGAGGAGGGGGAGGAGGAGGAGGTGGTGGTGGTGGAGAACGAGGAGGAGGAGGACGAGGATGAGGTGAGAGAGGTGGATGTGGATGTGGATGAGTTCCCTTGTCAGGGTACTCCTGCGGGGTCCTCGTCTCCACAGATGGGTCCGCCTCCAGGTCCAGGTTGCAACGCGCTCTAGGTGTCTACAGTGCCGTTTTTAATACATGCTCCGCGTGCGGATCATGTATTACACATGCAGGGATTTAGTATTAAGAACAACGATGAGTTCCTGCATATATTTAGTCATCAATTAATCGTGTATTAAAAATCCAATATTTCCCTACCTAGGCTCTGCCTAGAAGGGTTCTTACTCGGTATGCTTAAAGGGCCGGGCAGTGGTCCTCGCACCCGGCGGTTCCCCCAGCATCCGCCCCGCGGTTCCCCCAGTCCCCTGGGAGCTTTAGCTTTATCTTTAGCTTTAACTTTAGCTTTAGCTTAGCTTTAGCTTAGCTTCAGCTTAGCTTTAGCTTAGTTTTATATTAGCTTTAGCTTAGCTTTAGCTTAGCTTTAGCTTGGCTTTAGCTTAGCTTTAGCTCAGCTTTAGCTTAGCTTTAGTTTAGCTTTAGCTCAGCTTTAGCTTAGCTGTACCTTAGCTGTACCTTAGCTTTAGCTTAACTGCTGCTTAGCTTTAGCTTAGCTTCAGCTTAGCTTCAGCTTAGCTTTAGCTTAGCGTTAGCGTAGCTTAGCTTTAACTTAGCTGTAGTTTAGCGCTAGCTTAGCTTTAGCTTAGCTTTAGCTTAGCTTAGCTTTAACTTAGTTTTAACTTAGCTTTAGTTTAGCTTTAGCTTTAGCTCAGCTTTAGCTTAGCTTTAGCATATATTTAGCTCAGCTTTAGCTTAGCTTTAGCTCAGCTTTAGCTTAGCTTAGCTTAGCTTGTTTTCAGCTTAGCTTCAGCTTAACTTTAGCTTAGCTTCAGCTTAGCTTCAGCTTAGCTTTAGCTTAGCTTTAGCTCAGCTTTAGCTTAGCTTTAGCTTAGCTTTAGCTTAGCTGTAGCTTAGCTGTAGCTCAGCGTTAGCTTAGCTTTAGCTTAGCTTTAACTTAGCTTTACTGTTACTACTAATGCTGCTTTCCTAGGGGCTCCAACTTCTAGGTAGGGTCGCACTGGGATAATTTCTAAAATAAATCCTATGTATTAAAAACTGCCTTGTACGGAGGAGGAGGATGTGCAGAACGTGGACCAAGCAGACGAGTTTGAATGAGCGTATTGCGAAGGCTTTACGGCCTGTGCCGCCGACCTTGAGGGGGGACGACGACGACGCCGACGACGACGACGGCGGCGATGACGATGACGACACACATTCGAGAACTCAAGGAACTCATGGATTTTTGAGTACTCTGTCGGGGTTGCCTTGAGAGTGCTCTTGGGCCTCTCCGGAGCCTCTTGGAGGCCTTTTGGGCGTCTCTTGGGGCCTCCTGGGGCGGAAGGCTTGAGATGTCGGGTGGTGTTTCCCCTCGTGAGAGCCTCCTGGGGCCTGTTTCGGCTGTATCAGGGGCTTCTTGGGTGGCATCGGGGCCGTCTTGGGCCGTCTTGGGCTGGTGCTGGGCGCCTTCGTCGGCCTCTTGGGCCGTCTTGGGGCGATGCTGGTCGCTTTCCGGCTCGTCCTGGAGCGTCGGCAGCCAGAGGAGGCGAGGGCAGAAAAGCATAGAGAAGTTCTTTATCTTGGCATCGCTCGGACGTGTGCATGTTTCCTTCGGCGAGGACCATCGAGGAGCATCCTTGATCATTTCGCGAAGAACCACACACGAAACCGAGCGATGGCGAGTTATGAGCATCGTTGATGTTCGCGTCTTGGAGCCCTTGGGACTCTTCTTGGAGCTCTCTCGTTGCGTCATGGCGGCTCTGAGGCCGTCCTGAGGGTTGGGCCGTCTTGGAGCGACCTCTGGCTGTTTCAGGATCTTCTTGGAGCTAGCCACGGTGCAAGTGAGCTCGAGGCGTCTGAGAGGCAAGAAGTCGAAGGGGTAAGCTTCTCCCAGGGAGGGGTGCTCACTCCACTCCTCCCAGAACCCCCCCCAGGACCCCCGCCGCCCTGGCTGGGGAGGTATCAAATGGAAGGGGGTCCCTTCGACTCGATTACGAAGTAGCCCGATTTCCCTCTGGCTGTAACGTTCGAGGAGGAGAGCCCAGGGACGGGGGGAGCGGCGACGGCGACGACGACGACAGAAACGGAAAAGCGTCCAGGTAGAGGAGCGGCAGCGGCGACGACTCGACCGGTAACGCCCCGCACACACGCCGACAGGGTCGGCGGATTTGGAGGGGTTGGGGGAGGGAGGAAAGGAGTGAGGGATGGAAGATGGTGAGGAGGATGCCCATGCTGCCTGGGCCAGTACTACGGCCCATGGGCAGAGTATGTGTTCACATTGTGCGGCCTCAGGCGGTATGCGCTGTGCAATCACCCGTTCGTATTCACATGCGCTTTTCCAATCCCTTCTCGTCAGGTGATCGGTTTGTGGTCGCCCCATGTTTCATGCCCTCAGTCCCAGTCTTCCATGCTCTTGCCTGCGCGTTTCCATGCCCTTCGCCCCGTGCTTCCCAGTTTGGGCTTTTTCAGACATCCTCGCATCCTTCATCATACACCGTCGTCGTCGTCGTCGTCGTCGTCGTCGTCGTCGTCGTCGTCGTCGTCGTCGTCCGTCGTCCGTCGTCCGTCGTCCGTCGTCTGTCGTCGTCTGTCGTCGTCTGTCGTCGTCTGTCCTCGTCCTTCGGTCGCCTGGTGTCGGCAACGTCGCCGGCAGCCTCGCCCTCCTCGTTAGAACAGGTCTCTGGACCCCTCCCGAGGTCCGCCCTGGCCAGTTTCAGCGCCCCGCCCACCCGTGGCGACGAGAACCTCCAGAGTCGCCCCAAACTCAGGAGGAGAAAAAACACACAGACACAATTAATCGTCGATTCCCAAGAAAATATGGAAAATATGGGAATTGGGGGGGAAGACAAAAACCCAGAACATATGGGAAAATATGGGACATCTTTTTATTTGTGTGTATTTATTTGTGTGTCCTGGGGCCCCTTCACAAACAGCCTCACAGCGAGGGCGTCGTCGTCGTCGTCGTCGCCCCCCCCCGCTCCCCACAAGATCGGCGTGCGGCCCACGGCGGCGCTCCTGAAGGTTCTCCTCGACTTCTTTACGCTCTACTCCCTGCCAGGCACGACCGCCGAGGGAGAGGAGGTCGCGACACGAGGAGGAGGAGGAGTAGGAGGAGGAGGAGGAGGAGGAGGAGGAGGAGGAGGAGGAGGAGGAGGAGGTGAAGGAAGGGGGGGGGGCCGCCTGCACTCCTCTCTGCACGAGCGAGGTGGGTACGGCAAGGACGGGGGCGGAGAGACTGTCAGCCTTGGCTGCCTCGATGCGCCTACACACTCACAGTTCAGGTTGACCCAAAAGGGGGTCCAGCGACAAGGGGGTGGTGCAATAGATTTGGTGCAATCGATTTGTGGGGTTGCAATACATTCGGGGCGTGCAGTGCGTTCCGGGGCGCAAATGTATTGCTGGATTTTCGCGTGCAATGCGTTACTTGCAATACAAAGCAATACAATGCTCCAGCGCAATGCGTTTGCAATACAATTGCCCCAACTCTATTGCACCACCCCCTTGCAGCTGGACCCCCTTTTGGGTCGCCCAGAGCACGACCACACACCAAGGCTTCAAATCCCGGTGATTTTCTCAAAGTTCGGCCCGAGGGGCCGTTTCCCGGCCCACGGACCATGGAACAACTGTTAGGTCGGGCTTGTCCCTCTGCAGGGGGAATGTTCAAGAGTAGTCAAACAAATAGTCAGGGGACGACTTGTTGTTTATTTTTGGAGGATGGTTGGGGCATTTTGGGGGGTATTTTAAATTTTTCGCCCAACGTTGCCCTGTAGGGGGACAGGCCCGACCTAAAATAATTGTTCAGGGCTGGAAAATTGCTCCACGGAAGGGGTCAGGTCTTTTTGGGGCCGCGGATTGAACACCTCAGATTTTCGGATGCATGGGCACCAAGATGGGAGAATGATGATGACAGCAGTGTTTACCTTGCCCACGCCCGCCCCAGGAGGGTCCAGGAGAGGGGCCGACAAGGGACGCCCCACAAGGCGGCTGAAGATGTTACGTACAGTCCTCCCACCCCATCAGGTGTACCAGGGGGCCCTGCTACATTGACTGCGGGGGGGGTCGAAGAACCATGTTCGCTGGTTAGTGGCTCCCTTCCTTCTCGTCAGTCCGCTGGGTGGGTTGTGGTTCCCGAAAATGCAAAGACAGCTCTGACGCAACAGCTCCAAACAGCTGGCCACATAGGCACCAGAGGTTCAGGATCTTGCCAGGCCCGTGCTTGTTGGTGTCAGGGTGTTGTAGCTTATTCACGCAGTTTGTTGGAGCCAGTACAGTCAACCCGCACGGTAAGGGTGGGCAACCTTTCCAAGGGTACTTTTGTATCCTTGCCGCCTCGGTCCATCCTTAGCCACTTTCGTCTGCCGCACCCCGCTCGAAAAGCTTCGAAACGGCCCTCCAAGGCCCTTGCATCCTTGTCGCGCATCCTTCTGATACGGGCCGATTGTACGAGCCTGTGCTGGAATTTTCCCTACAGACCTTGCCTATGATCAACCACGGCTCGGCATCCTGTGGAGCAGGGGCGTGCTTGAGACGTGCGGGCGTATGCTGGTGCGGCGCCGTGGGTTGGAGCCACGGTAATGACGGTACGAGTCGAAGCGCAGCGGTTCGTGTGCATGGAGCCGTGCCACGACGAAGCAGGCAGGAGAGGCCACTTGTTGGTCAGCGAGCCTTTCAGTCATACAGTGGAGACCCCTGCTTTGCTATGGAGAGCGTGACGCTCCCACACCAAACATCAGTGGAGGTCCTGGGCTCACAGGGCTGGGTTTCTCATGGAAGGTCTCTTGTGGTCGAACCCTTACTGTATGTATCGACGGATATGGGAGAATAGCAAGTGGTCGTTTTTTATTGGTTGTTTTGCCGATCGGCGCGGGCCCTTGCACCCCCCCCTCCCATGGAGTAGATCTTGGCTGTCTCGGGCGCATGTTTCGAGCAGGCGGAGTCTCCCACGGAGGCCGCACTGCTGCAAACAGTCGCACTAAGCAGAACTGCGGAGCCAGACCCCCCCCTCCCCCTTGCCGCCCAATGTCGAGACGGCGATCCAGAAAGCGCCAACTGATGAGACACACTGCTGCCAACGGTCGCATGGAGCAGAGGTCCGGAGCCAGACCCCCCCCTCCCTCCCCCCCCTTGCCGCCCACTGTCGAAGCGCCGAGTGAGAACACGCTCACCAATTGAGGCGCTCGGACGCGCACGTCGACAGGTCGAGTACGCGGGCAAGAGCACGGGGCAGGCCCCCGCCGCCTCTGGGGCTTCGGGAGATCGCCCCACCGCTGGGTTTTGTCACTGAGGCCACATGCTGGTATGAAGTCGGGCCTGTCCCTCTACAGGGGGAATGTCCGAAAATAGGTAAAACATAGTCTGGGGACAATTTTATTTTTTATATACTTTATTAAACAGCTTTTGAACATTTTGGGCTGTATTTTTTGAGGTATTTTTGATTTTTTCGTCCAAAATGGGACTCTAGGGGGACAGGCCCGACTCAATGCTGGTACCCTCGGGGAGTGCTGCTGCTCTCCCTTAGGCACCGTCATCTTGGGGCATCGCTCGGCTTTTTGTTGGGGGTCCTGGGGGCCGCCCTGGGGGGGGGGGGACTCGGGGACGTCTTCGGGAGGTTGGAGTTTGTCCTGGAGCCGTCTTGGGGTCTGGTTGAAGCGCCTCGCGCCGTCCAGAGGGTTCTCGTTAAGGGGTTCACTTGCGCCCTCTTGGCAGCCCACGGGGCCCTTTTGGAGCCATCTCGAATTGAAAAGCAGGTGGATGAGCACATAGCGGATTCTGGTAATTTTCACCTCGCTGGGGTTCCGTTCAGAGCTATCTTGGAGCCTTTGGGGGCCATTTTTGGGCAATTCTGGGCCCTCTTTGGCCCGTCTTGGTGGGCTAATTGGGCCGTCGGAAGTTCTTCTGGGAGGCCCACGGCACGATTCTGGGCTTCTGTGGCGTCTCCCTGGCTCGGCCAGATCTGTTCTGGAGGCCCCAGGGCAGCGGGATACCCCAACTCCGCAAAAGCGTACCCGCCGTTCGTTTAAGGTAGTTGTTCTTGAACTGCCGTCCTGCTGCATTCGTCGGGGCCGCGTGAGCTCTTCCTTCCTCTCCCGGGAGCGGGCGGAAACCCAATCTGCCCCTGAGCTCTTCCTTCCTCTCCCGGGAGCGGGCGGAAACCCAATCTGCCCCTCAACGCCTTCCCCCTGCGTGTGCTAGCCCACTCCTCCTGACCGACGAGGCTGCTGGTCTCTTCGAGCGGAGGTTCTCGCGGGCCGATCCGGCGGCACGCAGAGCGTGCCCTCTTCGCAGCCCTCCTCGGGCGTCGCATCCTGCCCGGGCGCGCGCTCGCCGGCGGCCGGGCGCGGCGAGCGCCGGACGGCCGCGGCGCGGAGAGGCGGGGCCCGGGGAGCGCCGTGGCCGGGCTGGCCACGGCGGGGGGTCCCTCTCCGGGCGCCCGCCCCAGGGGGGGCGCGAAGGCAGCCGCGCTCCGCCGCTTCGTGGCCCGGGCCCGGGATCGGCGGCGAGAGCGAGGGGGGAGGGAGAGCGGGGAGGGAGGAGGCTCCGCGCAGAGGGCGGCGGGGCCTCTCGGTCTGGAGGCAGGGGGAGGGGTGTGGCGTCGAGGGGTGTGGTGCCCCTGCTGAGTCCTGGCGGCAGTTCCCATCGCAGATAACACTCCGTTCCCGCGATTGGCACCACACCCCTTTCTGTTGCACCCCTTTTTCCGACCTCCGAACTCAGGAGCCCTCGCGCCTTCGTAGAGGTTCTCTCTGTCTTCGGGAAAGGCTCAGAAGACTTCTCCGAAGGCCGGAAGGCTTCCGAGCCCTGTGAGAAGGCCCGCCCCTTCTCAGTTCTCCTCCCCTTCGCTCGGTCACCCGCGAGGGGGTGCCAAGGTCGGGCCGAGTGAAAAGGGGGGCCTCGGTAAAGCAGGTGGGGGTACGAAATCTGCTGCGTGCAGCTGGTTGCGGCCCCGCCGCCGGGCCCACTCCTCGAGACGCGGGCGCCTCCTGGCGCCAGGAGGCGCCTGGACAGCCAGCCGCGTGAGCCGCTTCACTACCCTGCCCCTTGCTGTCCTACCCTTTGTAGTCTGGGCCAGGGCGAGGATCGATCCGTTCCAGAGCGTTCCGGCGCGCTCTCAGAGCGCTCCAGAACGCTCTGAAGAGGCCGCGGCGCCAGATACAGTCTCCAGAACCGCCAGATCTCCGAGATTCTCGATTCCTCACCCGGACTTGTCCTCGTCTTGGCTTCGTCTCATCACCTAGCTGCGGGCATACTTCCGATTCTGAGCCCCACCCGGTTCTTCAGAAATCTGACCTGCAGGGGTAGGCCAGGCTCGGGCTGCACGGTCTTGTGGCGATTTCGTGGGCCGTTCTCATCTCATCTTCGTGTCGCAGAGACCGACCGAGGGAAGGCGAACATAAAACGAAATCGAAAACACGCTTCAGGTCGAGCCCTGGGGGTAGGTGAATCGTCTGGAAATAGTCGGGAGAAGATTTTCCGACTATGTTTCGTCCTTTTATGAGTATTTGTTGATTGTTGCTTTCTTCTCCCCAAATCCGCCTGCAGGAGTGCATGCCCGACCTAAGCCGAGGGTGCAGTGGGGGCCCATGCCAAGAGACACGCTGCTCGCCTCCAGGGTGCCCTGAGTTTGTTGGGCTTCGATGGCTTTGCTATTTGCAAGCGCGACGCTCCCGCACCAAATATCAAGAAACGACCTGGAGTCTCAGGTCTGGGTTTCTTGTGGAAGGTCTCTTGTGGACTGGCTTCCACTGTATGGGCTTGTGTGTTCCCCGCTCGCGAGCTTTCCCACCTCGTCTGGGGTCTCTGCACCTTGACGCCACGGGTGCCGTCGGAGGCGCCGTTGCGCAGCGATCCGGCCTGGGGGTGGGCAGGAGACGTCGCCCCTGGAGTCCTCTTGGATCGGCGTCGCCCCAACATGCTTACACTGTATATGCGTCGCCCCCCCAGGGGCGATGCTCGCACCGAGAAATGAGACATCTTATAGTATATGCATCGTGGCGGGCGCTTTCTGGCCGCACCGCTCGCGAAACGATCTACTACAAAACGGGTATACTATAAGTTTGG